ACATTCCCACAAAACAAAAAAAGGTGTATACGAATCTGAAGTCAAAAGTGGGGGTCGGTAGAGAAACAAGAAAACAATTCAAGCTTTTTGGTATCTCTGGTTGATGTGCATCTCTTCAGAGGTCTCTGATTGGCACACATCTACCAAAAATCTTAAAATGGTCAATTTTGATATTTACATCTTCCGTAATTGTCCATCGTCCTCCAAATTTGACTTCAGATTCGTCTTTAGCCTGAAAAAAAAACATGGGAAAAACATAGTTGGACCCCAATCACACACCACATTTTTTATTTTGTGGGCCCGAGCATCTAGACTATTTCTTATTTATCATATGAGCTAGGTACACAGATCGTTCTTTTAAAACCCCAGTGTGGAGAACAGACAAGCCCATGTCAAGTCCAGAAACAAATATAACGAAGCAGTCCTCAATGCCAGAGACCAGAACGATATAAGAGCTAGGCACAGGGTAATGTCGCAGCGCAATGGTAGTCGGTCTTTCAGGACGCGGGCCAAGCAGATTAAAAGGAGTAGCCTTCCACCACTTACTTGTCAGGATGGACTCAAGGCCCGAGTGCTGTCGATTCAAAGGTTCCCCTACACTATGCGGGAAATAACATTCAGAAATAAGATTGTAAGATGGGTGCTCCTGTCACTCGAAATCAACAAAGCTTCCGGTCCGGACTTTATTCCTGCCGTTGTATTGAAGATGTGTGCAGCAGAGTAAGTTCTTTCACGTCTCTTCCGAATCCGATAAAAAAAAAGCTATAAGCGTAGTTTAGAAGGAATACATACCTTATGTCTCATTCATATTCTAAATATTCAATCCAAGAGCATGCTAAGATGACCTTGAGGCTGTAACACAGTAGAGCTCTAACGTTTAGCAGAAAATAACGGTTATCCAAGGCAAAGCTAAAGCAGGATAAGAGTGTATCGAGCTCTATCTGCGGAAAGAACGAAATTTTTAAATATCCACTCCTACATTATCGTGCCAACCCTTTGCGCGGTCACACCTAAGGCTGAATAACAGGACCAGCAAGCCTGTCGTTGATCTTGCTTTCGCGAGTGCTTCCAAAATAACAGTTCTACTTACCCCAGCGTGTCCCCGTACCCACACTCATGAAACCAGGTGTCCCATTGCTAAACTATACAGCGCCTCCGTACGTTGTAACTCCAGGATCAAAGTAACTTTGCAGACACTAAGTGCCTTGATTGCGCCCTGACTGTCGGAGCAGATCGTTGTTCTTCTCCCAGGCCCACCGCACCACATAAGGAATCTGGGATACACAAGACTAAATCGCATTAAATTAATACCATTATCGAAAACATTTACCTATAAAGACTCATGGTTAACTCCTGGTACGTAGATCACAAATCTGATATCAACGGGATTCCCCACAAGACCCATTTTTCTGCTCTATACATATAGTATTTTCCAACAAATTAGCATCTTCTGATGGTCATGTTGGAAATCAGCATCAAAAATGATTTCCACGTACCGAGTATCGCTCGCTTATAACAACGGGAGCTGAGAAACTAAAAGAAGCAAGTCCAATTCTTTCGTACCTGCAATATTGTTTCTTGGATAAACCGGGTACATGAACAAGCCCGGTTGACCTATACCAGGTAAGGCTTTCCGGTACTTCACTTCATTTTTTGATGGCCATGTTCTAAATCAGGATTCCATATTACCCCAGTGTACCGAGCTTTGCTCAGCTGTAGCTGCGAAGAATGAAAGTATAAATTTTGCGTTAAGAAACCGCAAAGCTTCAAGGTGTATAATTGAAAGGAGTTTTGATAGATTATGGCATATCTACAATCTCAACCAAAACCCGGTTCTTGAGTAAACTGGTTGCGTAGATCGTCATACTCTCGGCTTTTCACTGAGATTCACGAGAGATCCCTTCAGCAGTTTTTGGTTACTATACTCTACGGATGGCAGCAGAAAAGCACAGTTTTCTAGCACCTGTGAAGGACAAAGCAGCCGGGCAAAAAGACATAGGCATTCTATCCTCACTTCACTTTACAATTGTATATAGCGTTGCTCTATGCATTTCCGCAATTATCAGTACAGTATATACGTAGATCTAGTCATTTGGAGACAGACGCACTACAAGGGTTTTCAGTATCATATCCGCTTGTTTGCTTTCCGTTGTCTTAAATGACCTGTACTGTACTGATGATTGCTAAAAATTCTGAAATAGTGTTGTAGACGGTTCGTCATGGTCATCGTGTCACCTTTATTTTTCGCACACTACAATACAATACAATGTTTCGGTAGACCCATATTCGCTTGCTTGCTTTCCGTCACTTGCCTCCAAATAACTAGACCTATACCGTATTAATTATTGCTAAAAGGCATGAAACAACCTGGCTTTGCAACTAAAAAACTGTGTGTCTATTCGACAATGTGTCCAAGTACTAATTTTTATAATTTAAACACATTATCTTTTCGGCTAGATATTTTCACTCATTCTTTTGCTTAATTTATCATTTTTTTCTTATTAAGTCAATGCAATGAGACCTGCACTCGACACTCTGATTAATTAGGCTGGCCTATATGTACTTAAGCAAAACCTATTGCATTTTTTACCACCGTGCTTGATTTCCTTTATTTTTTGATATTTTCGCTTAATTGTCCTATAAATGCGGCACCTGTTGGGCAATAAAGCTATTATTATTATTATAAAGTGTTCCAATTCTGATTTTTGGACAATCCTTTTTATCCAATTTATTTCTATGATGCTATGATGGGGGCTGGGAGGCACATCCCCCGCTCATCACATGCGTAGTGTAGTAAGTGCTGCTTAAGTATTTCCCACTGTTGATTCTTTTCATCTGCTGGTACTCGGTTTCAGGTGCGCTGCTTTAATTCCATCTTGTCATCTCTTCAATTTCCAATTGCCAGCCACATACCAATGGAGCATAAAAGTTTCCAAACCACTCGTGCTTTTTAATCTTTTCCTTCTTTACTTCGGAAATATTCACTTTTTCGTGGGCCCCGGCCTGTGGACTGTATGGTATCAGTCGTGCACCCGCTTGAAGGTAACTTTCTAGACACATAAAGCTTTAGGGTGGTGTCAGAAATTTTGGATGTAAGTGGTCATACACGTTTTACAAAACACACAGTGAGACGAGTAGCAACGAGCCAGTGTTGGCCTTTTTAACTGATTTATGCTCCCTATGATGCTCAACACTCATTCCGATCCAACCTTCTCGTTTTCCTATGTATGGCTACTAATTCGCAGCTATGCTATCCGTGATTACCCTAGCATGAAGACAATGGTACTTTCATAAAGGGCTTGGTCGCAGAACAAACACTCGTATCTTTTCTCAGATAATTGTTCCCATGCTTACAGAGAAATTATACAGTGCTACATACACATTGAGATTATGATAAACTACTTGAAAGCCATGGGCGTGCCCACGTTTCCAATTTTGGTTCACTTGAAAAACAATATATGTATATTACCAGGAATTTTATACAACTAAAGATTGCAGATGTCAACCAGTGATGGGCGTTTATGCATATATTTTAATTGTCTACGCTGCTTTGTAGACAATGTGTAGGCAATGTATGCAATATAAAAAGTACGTATACAATGTATACAATAGTGTAGACAGTGTATAGAATAGCATAAGTGAGGATAGGTTTATTCGCAAACGTCAAAACTATAGTGTGAACCGGTAACTACAGGGTGGGGCAAAAGTCACGAAGGGATTTGAAAAATTAATAACTTTTTTAAATTTATTTTGTTTTCATTTTTTTTTTCAGGACCGTGTAAAATAAATCCTGGAGATTAATTATGGAGCGTTACAACCTCAATCAACGAACCAAACTTATAGAATTTTATTTTGAATATCACCATTCAATAATTCAAACTCAACGAGCATATCGTCGTCATTTCAATTTGCGGAATTCGCCCTCTGAATCAATGATTCGACGCTTAGTGGCACGATTTCAGCAACAAGGCACAGTTATGGATCTCCCACGAAGCGGAAGGCCACGTTCCGCAAGAAATGAAGGGAACATTCAACGCGTTCAGGAGAGTGTTCAGGAGAATCCGGAAACCTCAACCCGAAGACGTTCTGCTGAGCTGCAGATGTCTCAAAGGTCTTTACGCAGAATATTAAGAGGAAATTTACATCTGTTTCCATATAAAGTGCAGCTAGTGCAAGAACTAAAACCAGCAGATTTTCAAGAACGACTAACTTATGCAGTTCGCTTGCAAAGAATGGCTCGAGAAGATAATGAATTTATTCATTCTCTGATCATGAGCGATGAAGCCCATTTTCATTTGAATGGCTTCGTAAATAAGCAGAACTGCAGAATATGGGGTACCGAGAACCCAAGGGTGGTTCATCAAAGGCAATTACATCCGCTTAAATGTACAGTATGGTGCGCAGTTACGTCTCAACGAATTATTGGACCATTCTTCTTCGAAGACCACGATGGGAATGCTGTATCTGTAGATGGCGACCGATATCGTGATATGATTCAAAATTTCTTAAGACCAGCTCTTGCTGACAATCAAACGATGACTTTCCAACAAGATGGAGCCACTGCGCATACTGCTCGAGCCACTATGCACCTTCTAAGGCAGATTTTTGGCGAACGTTTAATTTCGAGAAATTCAGGATTCAATTGGCCCGCCCGCTCGCCGGACTTAACAGCCCCTGATTATTTCCTTTGGGGATATCTGAAAGGAAAAGTGTATATTAATAAACCCACAACCCTGCAGCAACTAAAAGATAATATTCGAGCAGAAGTAAGTGCTTTGGGGCCAGATATTCTGACTCGGGTAATGGAAAATGCTCTTGCAAGAGCTGCACTTTGCGAGGCTGAAAATGGCGGTCATTTGCGTGATGTAATCTTTCACACTTAAATTGTAAACAAACTCCAAACATTGCATTTTAGTTTTGTGTTAGGGAAAAAAATTAAAATTAAAATTTAAAAAAGTTATTAATTTTTCAAATCCCTTCGCGACTTTTGCCCCACCCTGTATAAAATGTGGTTGGGCTCACTAAAAATGAGTAAATTGATGAACTTGGAACTATATATTGTTGATGTGATGGAAGGAAATATCCATCGATTGCTGTATCTGTAAACAAGCTTGTCTAGTTTAGCTAATCTTGGCAGGAAGTCGTACAAGTAAGTTGACTACACGAATATCGTATACAGTGGTGTATTTTACACGACTGATGGCAATACCATACATACATACATACAAGTATAGCTTGCGACATAGCTACTGTGTTTGTTTACTTTTCTGCGAGCTGTCTGAGAGGTTCGTGAAAAATCTATGCAATTTGAGTAAGCTGATAAGGTAAAGAGGAATAAAAAATATAATATCGTTTATAGATAGACTCACACTTTAGACAGTGCAGCTTTATTCTTTATAGAGCGGTGAATTGGCGACGAAGCTCTTTACAAAAAAGAAACATTTACAGGAAATTCTTCACAGTGGTTCATCCCAAAATTTGCAGAGCAGCAGGTACCCAATTCGCATATTCACGATCCGAAATTGCGACCCTTGGAGCGGAAATGCGCCGACGTTCAGTTTTAATATTTGGGTGATGATGACCTTTTTGTTAGAGGTCTCATTGTAGGGTTCTAGGTAAAACAAAATCGAGCACAGATCTAGAAGTAGTGTCTTATCTTTCATTCTCGCTTCACGATTAGGTATCGACATGTATTACAAATTTTATGTATGATTGTTTAAGCTCGTAGAATGTAGCCTTGAATATTTAAAAGCTAGATTAGATTTTATGTCGAAAGATATAGATAAATATTTTGTAATGGTTCACGAAATATATGGACACGTTACTTTGCCTTTCAAGAACAGGGAATAAGTTTTTTGGTGACTTTCCCAATGAGCTACATTGCTATTTTTTATCAACTTTACTCCAATATTTTTTGAGCTTCGACGTATAAAAAATACTAAAAAAATCCACGGGTTTTTCTACTGCAAAGTTGAATTTTCTGAAAAGCAACGGGTAACAGCACTCATGGGACTATTTTTACTCTACAAGTTGGACATGTAAAACTAGGTGTATTCTCACAGGTGGGTATGAAAAGCGAGTTGCGTTTTTTGTTCAATTTTAATATGTTTTTAGGTTATGTTGACCACATACGATGCTGGAAAAGTCGGACGTACCACCGCCACGACCGTTTTTATCCATTCTATGGGTCCCGCTCAAATTAATGGCAACTTAGTTTTGTATGTCGTGAACTATACATGTATCAATGTTGCTCCCCTAGCCGTGTAAATATTTCCAATATGCAAAAATTGCAGAACAATAATAAATTTGAGAGGAACCCTAAAAAGTAGCCTTTCCGTTGATCCGATTGCGCTATTCCTGATTATCATTCGAATGAGTATATTAGCCAAATAGGAGCATGGAAGATTCATAGTATCATAGCTTGCATATAGAGATGCAGTGACTATATTAGGAAACTTTCTAGATTGTAATTACCCTACAAACTACGAATCCCGGAGCCTGCAATCCATCAGCTTCATTTAAAATGACGCTAGTATCATTCCAAGATACATACATATATTGCCTACCGTTATCTTTCAGTGCCTACTCAAAGTCAGTGATTGTATTTTTTGATAAACAAGTATTCAATTATACCTTCTATAGCTCATAGAAAGTGTACGGTTATTATAAATCCATATACTACGTCAACTAAATGGATATTTTCTCTTATTGTCGTCTAAAAGGGAATGTTCATTACAAATTCTTAATTAATATGATCCTTCTTTGGTGTATACGCTTGAAAGTGATGACTGTGAGTCTTTGTAATGGAGCAATTAACGTGATACCGGTTAAGTACGGTTAGTACGCATTTTATTCGATTATGAGCAAAGTTAATTCATTTGAAATGCGGATTCATAGTCTAGTAGCAACGTACTCTCAAATATTCATATTTGGATTTTCATGAGTATACAGGACAGGTAGGCGTCAAACAATTATAGAAACTTGAGATTCTGGTAGAATAGATGGGGACAATTCACTTAAAATGTTTAATAAATACACTTCCGGCTTTACCGGACATGTTCATAGAAGTCTATCTCACATCTCGCCATCCTCAAATTATATTTAGAAATATTCGGGAGTACCAGTTTGTGAAGTTCACGACCCAGACCGTAGAACTTAAGTTTTATTATCTTTTCCCACGAACCTGTCAATACTTCTCTGAATATTGGATAAAACTGGTTGTTTACGCCTCAAAAGTTTCCTCAATGTGTGTATTAATACCTGTTTCTACATCAAGCGCATGCGCGACGAGACAGCAAGGCCGATATGACGCCATTGAAATTAATGACAGAGACGTCACTTGTACAATCTTCGAGAATAAACACGCATTCCTTTGAGCGGGTGTTTCGCTCATAAGCCACCGTTCATCAGCAGCAAAATTACAAAACACTGGTCCCATCTCAAAAACTGGCGGTACCTCAAAAACAGTTATACTTAAGTATGGCATGTTTCCTATTTAAAATACCGCCGCTATTCTTTATCAGTGTATGATATCTATATACAGGGTGAATTTTTTGCGTGGGCTCGGTCGATAACTTCGTTATTACGCATATTATCTAACAAAGTTAAATACAAAATCTATTTATAGTCAACAGTATACTCCTAACTTGGAAGACATTTTTATTTCTACAGGGTGATCCATAACTAAATGGTGGCTCAAGCATACCTTTTTTTAAATGGAAAATTTTGCATTTTATTGATGATTTGGATAGAACTTTGACAAATGAAGCAACTCGATATAACATGATTTTATTTCAAAATTATTGAGATTTCAGAGAATCTGTCGAAAAAAATATTCAACTTTGATATCTCGCATCCCCGCAAATGTTTAGCTGGAGTACTGAAGTTTTCGTTAGAAAAAATTACGATCCCATAGTTTTTTCCTATCTACTAACATTTTCAGTTTCTTGGATTGCTTATACAGGCAATTGCGCCATTTCTCAAAATTTTCAAATGAAACAAGCTGTATATTTTCACATTTCTTGATTTCCCTTTCCACGCGTTTTCTTCTGCTATGAGGTTTATAGGGGTTTGTATGTCTCGCAAGGTAGGTTTGATTTATAATGAAATTATACCAATTCGAAAGATCACCGCCACCAGCTCTATTTCATTTATTTAATTTATTTGGTATTGTAATATTTTTCATTTACCCTGGTTTCTGGTTTGCAAAAAGGTTGGCTGTAACTCAAAAGCTTCGTAAACAACAAATAAAAGAAAAGCTTGTAGAAAGGGGACTCGAGATATACAGGGCGTTTTATTCAAAAATTTTGAGAAGCCGTTCATTTTGCATTCTTGACCACCCTGTACAAGCCGTCCAAAAAAATGTAAAAGTAAATATATAGAAACAAATTGGATAACATTTCTGTGACGAAAAATTGAGTACTCCATCTATGCCTGTTGCGGAAGTGAGAGTTGTCAAAGTTGAGTTTCTTTTCGATAGTTTGCCCAATATGTAACATTTTGAAAATAGAACCCCTATATTATGTTCTGGTTCGTTTCAAACGACCTAGCCAAATTTGCAATGAAATGTAGGCCTTTCCGTTTATAAAAATTGGTATTTGTAGATATAAACATATTTTGCGGGTAACGAGAAACCGTAGATACAATTTTTGTATTTAACTTTTTTAGATGGCATGCGTAATAACGGAGTTATTGACCAAGCCCGCACTAAAAACTCATCCTGTATATGGATGCGAAAGTGTGCCTAGTCTGTCAACGTGAAGCTTAAACCACTATGCAGAGAGACGTGAACATATTTACGCTTATTAACTAATACCCGGGGAAGGTTTTTAGCATGTTTTACCCGCGAACTCATTGTCGACTTTGCAGTTACATTTAGCAATATTCGACTGTCTCAACAAGTATCAGAATATTCACCTCCAGCGTCAGGCCGACCACAGCGCGGCCTACCATCGCTTGATGGTCACAGGTTGAGTCGAGCGATAGAAGGTCGCACTTTTGCGGTGCTTATGTCTCTCCGTATTTATATACATGTAGATAAGAACGTTCAATAAAAATGACTAATGAAAAAGAATGGCCTATACTTCCACGCGAGTAAACTTTCCCCACAAGTGACTAAAGCATATTTTTTACGTGACTACGACCTATGAAGAGATATCGTATTTGGTCGCCATACATTGCGAGGCTTAACCTACGTTGACATCTTCCCGGTTACGGCACTGCCACTAGGCACAGATTTATCTATAATAAGTGAGTCTTAGACATGCGTTGCATACAGGCAGTCACAGATCAAGAACCAAAAGTGCCCTTAATAAGAATAACAATGGTGTGTAATTCTTTCTGTAACCTCATATACATCCAGAAACAGATTTGTCATTGACATTGAAAATGAGGTGTGGTCGCGCGGTACAGCTCGCATGCATTATTCAAATCGTATGCAGAAGATTATAGGTTTGTACCGAGAGGAAAATATATATCAAGCCTGTCCATCGGAATTATTTATAAGGGATTACATATTAAGAATTTCGTAACCTAAGCAGCTTTGACGCGCATACCACAGCTTGACATCGTCGAACTAGAAAGTGTAATTCACATCAGCTTGAACAGAACTCTAGTATGGTATTAAATCTACAGGGTGTAAACGTTATGGTAGTTATTATTGAAACGGGTAAAAGGGGGGGGTCAAAACAAATCAAAATGTTCATATGACCCATGGTCCAAATGTCAATAGATTTTTGTCTAAATAGCTTTATAGTTTACAACTTCCAGTGCTTTATATCGACCATAATCACCACGATCTTACTAACTTTTATAATCTAATCTAAAACGTTTTTATATTGGATAATCAACAAATAAATGGCATTAAGTTTTCCTAAGTTAAGCCAAAATTTATAGTCAGTATCTAAGAAAGTAAGTTTCATTAAATTAAATATTTAAAACACACATGACAACAGCGCGTCGGTCATTCATCACTCTTATCTTATGTTGTTAGTTTACGGTGAAGCTCGTCAGAATTCAAATCTTGCAGCTCAAATTTATCGCGATAGATTTCGCCAACGGGTACATCCAGTCAGAAGGACATTTGTGCAAGTGTACCAAAGACTTCGAGATACAGGAAGTGTTCAGCCCACTAATATTCGCACTCGTGAAAGACAGGTTACTGTAGAGCAGGAGGAACAAATTTTAAATATCGTGGAAATCAATGCACGTATCAGCACTCGGGAATTAGGCCGCCGCGTAGGACTATCACATACAGTCCATAGAATCGTACGGGAAAATTTGCTTTATCTTTACCAAGTACAACGAGTGCAGGTCTTGTTACCAGAAGACTATCATCGGAGACTAACATTCTGTCAGTGATTTTTGCACAAAATCATTGAAAATCCGGATTTTCTTAAAAACTTTCTAGCGATGGACGAATGTATTTTTACGCCAGACGGGACATTAAATTTCTATAATACTCACACGTGGGTCCAAGAAAATCCTCATACCATTCGTAAAGGTCATTTCCAACAACGTTTTAAAATAAATATTTGGGCGGGTATTATAGACGATCAGGTAATTGGCCGCTTTCGAGTTACCCCCAAAGTTGCCAGGAGAAGGATACCTTAGCTTTCTAGCAAATAACCTACCAGAACTTTTGGAACAGACCTCAGACAACATGCCATTACAGCGGAGACAGAACTTGTGGTTTCTTCATGACGGGGCACCCTCACACATTTTTAGAGGCGTCATTCAGTATTTGAATGAAATTATCCAAATTGCTGGATCGGTCGAAATGCTCCTGATCTTCGAACATGACCAGCAAGATCTCCTGACCTCAATCCGATGGATTTCTAGTATTGGAGAGAACTTAAATGGATGGTTTATGGGGCTGATCCAATAACAACTGAAGCACAACTTCGCGAAAAAAAATTTAATGCGGCTGAAATAATAAATGGACAACTTCGAGGACCTAGAGAAAGAAGAAACTGGGTTCGACGTAATAACGCTTGTGTGGAAAATGGAGGACGATATTTTGGACACCTCCTTTAAATACAAAAAAAAGTGCAGTGTGGGTTTTAAAAAGAAAAACAATGTATGTATCAAAATTGTGTTCCCTATTTATAACTGGATTTTCTTAATACGTTCAATAAACTTTCACACACTAGGTGAAGCGCTGAGGCAGTTTGTGGTAAGACCGTTTTTTGTAATTGTTTGCATTTTACGGGTACATTATCAAATAATGAAATAATACCTAAGAGGCAAAAATAACAAACTCCATCTTTATTTACACTGCGTTCCGTCGTAATTTGCCTCTGGCATTGCGGCGTTGTCA